GAGCAGAGGAGTTTTGAAAATGCGCTCTGGGCTGATGATGCTGGAGCAGAGATCCTGCCCTGAGAGGCCCCTCGGCCCCTCTCAGACCCCACAGAGCACTCGGTGATGCTGAGAACCCAGCAGCCACTGTTGCTCTGGGGAGCAACCAGCTGGCCCATGAAACCAAGCTCAGTTGTGCAGATCTGGGCGAGGCCAGAGGGAGTCCTAGGAAATCAGCAACCCCTCCCAACTAGGCAGCATTTAAAAAGAAATGCCACGGGGCCCCTGCGTGGCTTAGTCAGTTAACTGTCTGACTCTGACTCTTGATCTCGGCTCAGGTCATGATCTCACAGTTTGTGAGTTCGAGTCCCACATCAGACTCTGCACACTGACCTCGTGGAACCTGCTTGGGATTCTCTCTCTCCCTCTATCTCTCCGCCCGTTGCCCACTTGCTCTCTCTCTCTCTCTCAAAATAAATGAATAAACTTTAAAAAAAAAATAAAAAGAATTGCCATGAATTGATTTCATACAGTAATCTCCTTATTTTAATAGTCACCTCAGTTAATAATGAACAACACATAGCCCAGAAAGGAGGGTCAGCCATGCCAAATTGATGGAATAGAGGATGATGCATAATGAGCTTGTTCGTATTTGGATGTAGATAGATGTGTGGAACCAGCACAGCGGCAAGAGAAGTCAAACTTGTTATCCATCTAGAAAGAGGAGACCGCCCCCCTGCAAGCCTTTCCCTCTATCTTTTGAGGAACGGTGAAAAAGTCAACTTCAGCCCCACCCTGCTTCACATGGATGCTGAGTTAGTTTGGTCCAAATGAAATAGCACTTAGCGAATTGTGACATATAGTCTAGAATTTTAAATTCTGTACCCCAAAGTAAAAAAGAAAAATCTCTCTACCGCTTATGCTCAGGGTCTCCTGGACCCCCTCCTGCAGCGAATCCCCCACCTTAGTGTCCTCTCCTCATCACAGAGAGGCCACCGGAGGAGGACTGGGCTCAAGGATCTGCGGGAACTGAAGGAACAAGGGGCAGCAGACCAGCCCAGTGGTGTTTTGTGTGTGTTTTGTTTTGTGTTTTGTTTTGTTTTTTAATTAAGAAGCGCCAAAATGAACTTGAGCTTGGCAAGACCTCAAGAGTGAAGCCAGGTTGGCTCTGAGCCCAGTTTGCATGGATGGGCTGGACTTGGACGTGGGCCTGGCTCCCTCCTGGGCTGTGAGGTCAACAGGGGCACATCTGTAGACCTGTTCAACTTTGATGGGGGGAGGAGGGCATCCTTTCCTGGAGACCCCAGGGGTTCTCTAGCTCTCTGCCCTGGGTGCTGCCGTCCTCCCTCTGGATGCTCAGGTCCCCATGTGGCCCTGTGAGATGCCCCCCCACCACAGTGTCCTTTCAAGAAGTTCTTTTTTCCTCAAGGTAGCCACGGTTTTTATTACATGCTACACAGAAAACCCTATCTGTTCACCAACTCTCATTGTGTTGAGGGTGGACACTGGCAACACCTTAGCCTGAGGTGGAAACCTACTCTTTACAAGGGACCTATTGCCATGATGGTGGAATTTCAGAATTTACAACAGGTGTCTGGGATGTGGGATTGCTTGGACACCCTCCCACCCCCACCCCCCCGCAACATTGCTAACATAGAGGGTGCTCACACCAGCATCCTGGCCACTCAACAAAGAAGGAAACAAAGGGACCATTCCTTCCAACTTCTCCAAAGCCCAGGGAGTGACAGGAATTGGGTCATAGGGAGAAGAGGAAAGGGGCAGGGAAGGGACATTCATCCAAGATGGTCCCCCGTGGCCAAGGGAACCTCTCTAAGCCTTCTGTCCACGGGAAGAAGTTTTAAGAATTGTGGCATCACAATGCAAGCCTGGAGGGGCCTCAAAAGCCTGGGCTACACTCCCCTTACTGTTCAAATGGGGAGGAAAGGCTTGGTCATAGTCCCACACCAAGGCACAGCAGAGGCAGCTGGGGCAGACAGCTGTGTTCCCAGGGAAGGGTCTCCCATCCAAATGATGCTGTGGTCAGCATGTCCCAGTGCAGCGAATTAACTCTGGGAGACCCTGTGGTCACAGTACTTCAGAGGCCAGTACAGGGCCAGATGCTTGACACCCATCTTGAGGTGGCTGATCTGAGTGACCCAGAGCAGGCCACCCTTGCGATTCTACTTTCCAAAATGTTTTTCACACCCTTCACCTTACCTGTGGGTCCCTGATGCCCTGAGCAGGGTGAAGTCTATTTTTGCAAATAAGGAAACAGTCTGGGAAGGGCAAGGAGACACTCTCAAGACCACCCAGCCCATGCCTTGCAGAGCAGAAACAGGCCCCCTGGGCCATGCCTTTATTCTCTTCTTTCTCCCATGGGATGCAGGGAGATAGGTGTTCCTGGGTCTGCTGCTCCAGGCGGCTCCCAACCCTTCCCCCGAACTCTGCTCTGAAGCTTCTCACAGAATGGAAGGTATAGGACTCAGTCTTGCCTCCGGGTTCACATGCCCTTCATCAAACACAAGATGCTGCCCCTCTGTGCTGCCTTCAGCTCCCCACCCAAAGGTAAGGGAGAATCTTCCCTCAAGGGAATGGTCCAGGGACCTGGAGCCGAGGGAGGGGATGGTTTGCCTGCCACCCTCCAGCCAAACTTGGTCGGGCCCCCTCCTTCTGCCTCTTTGGCAGCAAACAGAGTGGCTTCTGAACCTCTCTGTGACCTCCCCTGGGGCTTGGGGTGTGGACTCATGGGGGGATCTAACGGAATGTCTACTCACCTTACTTGGGATGAAGGGAGAAGTTTGCCACTAATCTTTCAGTGGAGACACACGTATCAGAAACTGTAAGCAAGCACACAGGGCTTCATGCCGGGAATTTATAGCGTTTCTCCGCCTCCCTTGCTGCAGAGGCCAAACCTGACTTTCAAAAAAGGGCACGCAGCCCTTGGCAAATCCCGAGGAGAAAGCACAGGGCATTTTGTGCCAGGGGCCTCGGGCCCATTTTGGGGATTTCCCTGAGGGCCTCTCAAAATAAGAAGCAAGTCTGAGTGACAAATTGAAAATGTAGCTTATGTCAAAGGAATGCAGCATTGTTGATTCCGAGCAATGTCTGCCTGAATATTAGATGCAAATAAGTGCTAATAAGTACAGTTGGAAGTGCTAATGGAAAAACTGTCCTTCCCAGGAGGATCACTGCACACAGATGCACGGGGTGGCTGAGAGGGCCTGACGGGCCCTACTTGCTGCTAGCTTGGTCCTGGTAAAGCCTGTGTAGACGCATCCCGTGGAAGTAGAGCTTGTGTGGACTCATCCAGGGGAAGCGCTTGTGGTTCGGAGCCTCCTCCTGGCTATACTGCTGGGCTCAGGGGATGGGAATCAGGTCTGGAACAGTCTCTGAGCTCAGAATCTTGGAGAGGGAACCCCACTGAACCTTCTCCACTTTGGAATCAGCAGCCTCACCCTGGCTCTGCCACCCTCCAGAGGTGTGGATTCCAGCAACCTGGTGGCATCCTTGTATCTTGGTTCCCTCAAACATAAGACGGAAATAATAGTGCCTACTTTGTTGTTGCAAGAATTAAAGAAGATCATCGTAGTGTTGGTCTGCTAAAGTTTGTCCTCTCACCTTTCCTGTTCTCCCTCTGAACGTGAACTCACTTGGGGCATTAAGAAGGCCTCAGGGCTGCCCTGGGCAGCCTGGGCACCACCCAGGCCTTCGGGAGCCCTACTGCCAGGAGGTCCCTGGCCTTCCGCAGGAGTGGCTCTGCTCCCTGCCAGGTCTGCCCCCAGCCATCTCTTCTCTGGTCAATCAAAGGCCATGAGTCCACGCCATCCGCCAATTCCATCTTACACTCTGAGTCAGCAGGGTGGAGACATCAGACCAACCAAACAGCAGATACAATGAGAGGAGGGTGAACCTCCTTTATTTTACTAAAGTTTCTCCCCAGGTTTTTCAAAATACTGGGGTCCCCTAAAGATCAAGAGGTGACTGATTTACAGTTTCATCAAGTTCCTGTGAGAAGCCAGCCTGCCTGCCTTCCCAGAACCTGCTTGCCCCCTGCAGGTGGGGGCTGCCTGTTCTCCGGAAAAACAGGACTGGAGTCAGAGCCCCGGCTCTTCCTTTCTCATCCCTGCTCTGTCCTGGTACTCTGTGTGGCTGTGGACCTGTCACTTCCCCACTATGTGTTGATGGCATGTATAGGGAGCAGCCCCCTGACCCAGGTTGACCTCGCACGACTCCCCTCCCCCACGAGATCTCAGGATGTGATCCAACAAGGACTTCAAGAGGTAGCCCTCGAGGGAAAGCCTGGGTCACAGGTCCTTTCAGCAGAATCCAGAGCCCCAGGAATTTGGAGAACGTGAAGACACTCAGGACCGAGGCCGCCCAAGACCTTGACCAGATCCCACTGAGGGTGAGGCCCAGGGATTCCCCCAGAAGGTACCAAGGGATCAGTCCTCTGCGTTTCACCAACCCCGCGCCCCGGCAGCGTCGGGTCCTGAGCGTGCGCCCCTGCCCAGCTGCGGTCACGGCCCGCTCCGGTGACGCCTTGTCATTTTCCCAGGTCGGCGCCGGCGTGCGACCCACCGAGGCAGTGGCAGCACTCTGGCCGCGCTCTGGAGCCAAGTGGCAGCCTCCAGTTCGGCTCTCAGGGAACCTGGGATACGGGCGCGGCCCCCAACACGACCGCCCCCACCCCCGCGGCCGCTGGACCGCGCCCAACAGCGGCTCCTTCGAAGCGCGCGGCCCGTGGGGCCGCGGGAGCCGCAGAGCGCGCGTGGGCGCGGCTCCCGCGAGCTCCCGGGAGGGACCCGCAGATCGCAGGAGTGATCCCCTCCCGGCCCGGCCCCCGCCGCCACAGCCACGGCGGGGCGGGGCCCAGGCCGGGGGCGGGGCGCCGGGCGGGCGCGGCGTTATTTCCAGCCTCGCCGGAGGCTCCGCTCGCACTTAGCTGGGAGCCTTCCCGGCGCGCAAGCAGGATCCGGTAGAGCTGTGGGGACAGAGGAGAAGGCGGCGGCTGGAGGTGGGAGGCGGGGGACGGACCCGGGCCCGGGGCCGAGGAAGAGCACGCCACCGCGCCCTCTCCCCCTCCCTCTCCTGCGCGCTCCGGCCGCCGGCCCGCGCCGCTCGCCTCACCCACCGCACCGGGTTCCGCCTGGAGCGGGAGGAGGCCCCGGGCCCGAGCCGGGGCGGAGGTCTGCCCTGCCGCCCGGGCGTCCGGGAGCGGGGGATTCGCCGTGGAGTACCGAGCCCCGGCTGGCGGCGCCCGCGGCCCCGCGAGCGCCGGCTGCGCCAGGTAAGTGCGCTGCGCACCCCCTGCCCCAGCCCTGTCCCCGCCTTGTGCAGGCTCCCGGCTGGGAAGGGCGCCTCGAAGGGTCCCAGGAGGACCTGGGACTGCACTGCGTCCCGGCGCCGAGAACCTACAGGGTTAGGTGTCCGAATCCGCGGGCGGAGATAGGGCGCGCGGGGTTCCGGTCCGGCAGCGCTTTGGGGACCGGCTCCAGTAGCGGGAACTTTAATTAGACTTTTGCTCCATGGCTTTCGCTTGCCGCCGCGCGTCTGTGAACTGCCGCCCCACGGGCTCCCTCGGTCCCTGCGGATGCTCTGCTGCTGTTCCCAGCCCTGGGTGCCGGGGGCGGGGAGGCAGCGTCGGCGGCGGGGAGGGCCGGACTGGAGCGCCCGGGGCGCCCAGGGCTTTCCCGCGCGCTCGGGTCTGGGACTCGCGGGCGAGTTGTCGCGGGCGGGGGCGGGGGAGGAGTTAGGAGCTGCCTGGGCTTCCTACCGAGTGGCGGAAGGTGCCCCCGCGCTCCGTCGCGCGCATCCCCACCCCGCGACTCTCTTGGGCACCGGCCTGTTTTGTACTCGAGGCGAGTGTGTGTGCGTCAGTGATCGTGTGAAGGTGTGTGTGTGCGAGTGTTGGGGAGTGCGGGAGTCCGAGCCTCGGGCGGCTCTGGTGGGCGGGGGAAGGATCTGCTTGGCCGCGGGACCCAGCCGAGCCTGGCGGCGGCTGCAACTCCCAATTACTAGCTTCCTCCAGGTTTGCATGCCAGCTCTGACCTCGCGGGAGGCCGGCCGGACCAGGCGAAGGTGCGTTGGCGGGTTTTGGTAGTGCCAGTGTTGACGCTTGGGTCGGAGGGGACCCCTCGCCTCTCCCGGGCGCCGGATTCCCGCCGCCCCAACTTTCGCCATACATCTGGGCCCCAGGCCCCACGACCCGACCCGGGGCAAGCGCGGCAGGTTCACAACGCCCTCGGCTGTGAGCGCTCGCTGCCGGGTTCTCACTGCGAAGTAGGGGCCGATCCTGGAGCTCAGTGTCTTAAGCTGTCTCCGTTATGGGTTGGACACCGGGTCCTTGGGACGCGTCCCAGTTGGACCCTGCGTAGTGATTGGCTCTGCTAGGGAGACTGGACGGCAGGGCGGTCCTCGGATGACCCTGTAACAGGGCTGCAGCGGGAGGCTGTTGAGCAACGGGACTGTGGCCCCCCTGTGGAGTGCATGGTGGGAGAGGCGGTGGCAGAGGGATAAGGGGCAGACTAGACCCTTCCCCATTTCTGGGATGCTTACAAGCCGCACTACCAAGCCCACTTTCTTTGGGTAACTTGTCACCTCCCAGTTCATCTTGACCCTTGCCTGTGGGTGGGGAACTTCTCTTAAGTCCTTCCCTAGAACAGCGTAGCCTCTGGAACGGAGTGGGAGAACCCTTTTAAAACATTTCCCAACTCTCATGGCCTCTCTTGCCCACCCTCTGTCCCTGTCCCAAAGGCAAGACAGACAGGCTGCAGGAAGAGGTGACATTCTGCTCCCCATAGGAGACCCTCTTTAAATCCAGACAGTCCACCACAGAGGGCAGGACAGGGCTGAGGAGCTCCCTTGGGGGGAGCTGGAAATACATTTCAGGGCCTTCATCAGATTTACCTCTGTGAGATTACCCACAGGAGGGATAAAAGGCAGACCCTGAAGAGATGGAGTCTCTTAGGGTGATCAATAATTTAAAAGCATTTGAACACAGAAAACCTCAAAGTCAGGCCCCATCCCAGAGCCTAGCCCGTTCACCCTGAGACACACCAATGGCACAGCTTATTTATTTATTTACTTGGAATCAGACTCCACAGAGTGAATTATGTTCCCCTGGTATTGATTTTTAAAAAGACCCCAAATTAAAAAGTCAAGGCTTTCTTAAAACAAGGTCAAGGATTAATTATTTATAGAGAGACATCAATCAGCTGATGTGGGGGCTCATTTATAAAATGCCTGAGCGGGCCAAAAGGAGCATGGGCTGATTTTCCCTGGCTCCGGCTGGGAGAGGAGCAGGCTTGTCTGACCTCCTGGGCTTGGCAAGGCTTTCCCGGATTGTGACCGGAGGAGGATCCTTTGTAACTCAGCCTGCTGTTCGAGAAGCCTTTTTAATCTTGTAGCCAGAGTGCCACTTGGGAAATTTCATGTATATTTGCTTTGTTTCCATAATGAACATTTACTGATTACAGAGTATCAAGGGAATTTCATTTTTTAAACATTTATTCAAATGTCTGTTTATGTAAGCTAATAAGTCTGGGAAAGTTGGGTAGCTACTTTTTTGCCGTATGGTTGTTGGGAAAGTATGCCTGGTGGGCTCCTTGCAGAAGGTGCCTTGGAGTCACTGAGAAGGTGGGAAGTCAGAGGCTCCCGACTGGAAACGCCCCGCAGACTACTTCTCTGCTCTTCACTGAGGGTTTATGCCAGTGGCAAACTGACAAGCTTTTTGTGGTTTTGCTGATCGAAGAGATGGGTGCTTAAAGCTTTTATAGTGATTTTGCTGATGCATCTTGTTGGAGGGACCAGTGGTGAGCTCCAGAGTCTTGTATGAACCGGTGGGGGGCGGGGGTACCGCCTCTCCTGCTGCCTGGCCTCAAGGGTGACATGCCTGCCCTACCTGGACCCGCAGTGGCTCCCAGGCTTTCCCATGTGTGGTAGCCACACAGGAGAGCCATGGAGCAGGGAGGGGGCCTACAGGCAGGAAAGTGGACCAAGGGTATGGCAGTGCCTAAATGAACAACTGTGGCAATTAGATCCAGTAAACACTGTGTAAAACAAGGGCCCCAGCCTTTCAGCTCATCCGAAGGTAATGAGTTAGAAATAGGAGATTTATGTAGTCCTGGCCCAGGGAGATCAATGTGGCCCTGCTGTGGGACAGTGAGAAATTTAAAAAAAAATCAAGGATGGTTGTCTGGATGTGAATGCAGGAGATGGTGTCCTGGACCCTCAGGAGGGTTGCTGGGAGCAGGTAGCCTGTGTGGTGACATTATGGGGACAGTAGGCTCCCTGGCACTGTCTTTGAGGTCACAGCCAGGACTAGTCTGACCCCAGAGCAGTCGTGTCCCCTCCTTCCTGGGAAAAGGCTGCCCAAAAGCAGAGGGAAGGCCCGGCATGCAAACGACCAGGGGACAGGGCTGCATTAACTCAGGTGCCAGAGGACACAGGCGATGCGGTCTCATTTCTCCCCAGCTGGAAGGCCTGTGACCTCGCGGTCAGCAAATCACCGTGGTGGAGGATGAAACTTACAAATTGGTTGTGGGGAAAAAGTTGTGACTTTTACCCTGTACAAAACTACCTGTCATTTGTGATCTGGGGCTGTGGCATGTACCCGCTGGCCCAAATACAGCCTCGGCCACCACTGGCAGGAGAGGGAAGCCTGCATCCGGGGGTGGTGACACCAGAAGACAGCCCTGATTCCCTCTCAGAAGCCACCTTCCGGGAATTCCTGAGTGTCCACACGGGGGCAAGGGGCTGTGTCTCCCCATCCCAGCTCCCCACCTTGAAGGCGAGCCATGCATTTCTGGGAAATCAGTGCCTTTTGCTGCTGATGACTGAAGGTCAGAGGTGGCCCTGATGGGCAACAGTTATTTGAACTAAATTGGAGTTGTCAACATTGAAGTCTGGAGCCAGATGACCCCATCCCACGTTCCCATTGTCAGACTCACTGTGGCAGTCTTTCTTTCTGCCATTAGTGAATGTTTGAGAAGCAGGTGTTAGGTGTCTGTCTCTGTGCCAGGCTCCGGGGACAGAAAGTGAACCAAACTAAAGAGCAGCCCCTACCCCTGTGGACAGCCATTCCCTCATGACTGGCTCATCACTCCCTGATTCATGGTCTGCCAGGCAATGCCATAACCGAACAAATAACCTACACGTGTGGTTCCAGGCTGTGAGGAGCATATAAAGGAAACATCTGGGTGTTTCTGAGATGCGAATAGAGTGATCTGAGCTGGACTGAGGGACAAGAACCTCCCTGAGGGGGTGACACTTCAGCTGAGGTCTGAAGGAGGAGCCAGAACTAAGCAAGAGGGGGACAGACAGAGGGAGGGAGAGAGCTTGGCAGGTGGAGCGTGTGAATGAGTGAGAGGGAGCATGGCCGGCCGGCCAGGAGCCTTGGGGAGGCTCATGTAGCCAGCAGAGTGGAGGGCTTGATGCAATTGGAGACACAGCCAGAGCCCTGCCCATATAGGGCCTTGAAGGCCAGGGAGAAACTTAGGACTTGACCCCACCAGCTGCTGCAGAGGAGGGAGCCCGGTGAGGAAGGAGCTATTGCAGGAAGGCGACCAAGGTCTTAAATTAAGAGGAGCAGACCGAGGGGACTCTGCTAGGGCTTGGTGCTGGGTTAAGTGCGGGAGGGAGGGTGGTAAAGGCTGTTGGGACCCTGACTTCTGGATCACCAGTGGGAGCTGTCAGTTCCCTGAGGCAACTCCCCCCACCCCCCCCGCCACCGCGCCTCCCTCCCAGCCCTGCCCCACCAGACGAGGAGTCTCAAGCTCCTGTGCCCTCTGGTTGGGTTATGGCCTCCAGGGCTGGGGCTCAGGCGGCTGCTTGTGTAGCCCTGCCTCCGTGCCCCTGCCCACATGGCCCAACTTCTAGCTTTCCTGTAAGCTTTGGGCCTTCCACTACCTTCCCGCCAGCAGGTAGTAAGTGACAGGGTCCAGTGCCCATGCTCTCTAATGAGGACTTTGATGCCCACTCTCCTCTGTAGCTGATTGCCTGCCAGTCTGCTGGCCAGAGGTGGCCTTGGCCTGTGTGTCATCCCCTTAGCGTCCTGGGACCCTGGTAAGTACTTTATCTGCCACCCACTTGTACCTGACCTGGCAGCTGGCCAGCACCAGAAGGCTCTCCTCTCCTGTGCCCTTCCATCACGCCAGCTCTCTCTCCTCCCCTCCTCCCCTTGGGCCAGTCTGGACCTGCTCCTGCCCCCTGCTGGGGGCTCTGCCCCAGGCTCAGAGCTCCCCAGCTCCCTCCACGTTCAGCGAGTTCCCTGTGGCTGTCTGCAGCTCA